ATACGATGAGTATATGAGTATATCGAAAGAGTGACAAATGATACGTTGTAATGAAGCGAGCAAGCGGAGAGACTCTCGCCTTACGTGGTTTAATTGCAAGCATGCTCGCACTGGTTGCTGGAATATCGCAAAAAAAAATGTCGTCATGTGTACGAGCTAGAATCACTAATGGGATCTACATATATACGATATGTATATATACATGGGAGAAGCACTATCTGAATCATCGATGTACCCCCCTCCCCCTCCCCTCCTGGCTGGCCAGCACAACCGCGAACAATCTCTGTTTTTAATTATGAGGTTCTCATATTAAGGTTCGATCATTCTATCTGGATCGAAGAACGTTTCTGCGCCATATGGTCAAGATGTTGTAATACTAACAATAAGCACATCGAAGGACGGTCGGATGTGACGTAATCATTTACAACGAAGTCGCTCATAAAAGCTCACCTTATGAATCTCCCTTGTAAATCGTGAATCGTTCGGGATTTATACAAGAAGTTCTAGATCTGTTTCTTTTTGTCAATTTTATTTGAGAAGTGCTTTGAATGGAGAATATTTATTCTCTTTAGAATAACTTCTTTTTAAGCAAATAAAGTATTATAAAATCCATAATATATGACAGCGAACAGCTTTACATAAAAAGATACGAGATGAAATTGATTAAATAATTATAATATATATTTTATATAAAGTTTATATGTGCACAAAATAAGATTCCTGGGACAATTTTTAATGTCAAACACGAATGTCTTTCATATATATTTTTCGGACATCCTGTATATTATTGCGGAAAATTTATTGATGCTCTAAGAAACCACGGTATTGATTGGGGAGGGCAGTACTCCCATAGAATGATTCAAGGGATCCTTTGCTTCAGGATCGATTGTTGCGGCCATGAAATCGCGGGGTCAGATGACGGGACCGTAAATCTTGGGCACACATATTCGGACCCTCGCGCACACAAAAGAACGAAACGCGGCGCATGTATTGTCAGTCCTTCTTGCTCCTTGCTTTCGTTACAATATCTCGCAAAGATCAACGACGACGACGTGCGTCGAATCCTTCTACGCTGGCTGTTTCCTTTCCCGAATATTCCATTCACTAATCGCTTTCGTAAATTCTCAACGGTGATTTGTCGAAAGGACGAAGGTCCCCCGGGAATTCGTAATTTTTCAGGATATTGTTCCCCTATTTTAGCACTGACTTTCAGCAAAATCCTACATATTTACAACCGAAAAATATATGGGGACATTTTCTCTTTTGCAAGCGAATTCATAGCTAGTAGCCTAAAATCGCAAAAATAACGTTTGACCTTTAGATTTCGTATAAAAATCGTTATTTTATTCGGATAAATTAATAAGTAAAACAAAATGGAATATAATTAAAGTTATAACTCTTGCCAAATATGGAAGGACTCTTGTCTTTATTATATTATTTATTTTTTTCATTCATATATTATTGTTTATTACTATATTATTATACTATAGTTATATTTATTTTATGTAAAAATTATTCTGGCTTTGCAAAGAAAATATATTCATACACAGTTATTAGGAACAAATCGATGGAAATTTTAATTGCTAAGAGAACAGAGAGTGTATATATGCATATCTTTAAAAAATTATTTTTCTGGTCGACCCTCTCGAAAAGAGAGTTTATTTTGTTTAGATTACAAAATCACACAAAAATCTCAGACATTGAAGTATCCTATCTTTCGAAATATTCTGAGTTTGACTCTACGCCGTAGGTCATAAACATAAAACAAATGTGCGCCACTTGAAATAAATAAATAATAAAACTCTTAAAAAACGAGATCGTATTACTAATACAGGAAATGTAAATTGCTAGCGAGTCCATAATTTAAAAATTTTTTTACGACGAATAAATTTAAGTTAAACGGTATAATTATGTTGCGTTTCTTTTTACCAACACAGGAAATATAAACGATAATATAAATTACATATATAATGATAAAAGCGTATGAAAAGACTATTCGCCATAAATCTCGGTAATGCGATCGATCGAGCATGATTGTTCATCGGATGCGATAAATATCCGTTTACCACGAATGGACTATCATTAGAAATTAGGCGGTAAAATTTATGATAACGGAACGCTGTAGCGCATGATTCACGGTCATAAAACACGGTATCTAGTAGCTTTAAATTTTCATGGACAAGCTAATTATCTTTTCAAATTCCTTGAGGTACAGATCGATCAATTTTTTGCAAAGTTTTACTACCTATTTGTTGCCCAGCTTCCGGAGAGCGTTTGTCTTTAATTGTAAACGTTTAATTGCAGCGGCAACATTCAATTCATGGCATTCTCATGCAATCAGTATTGAAATTGTTTTAATGAAAAAAATGTGTGGATTGATATTTCTTTAATATAAAGATGTTTTTTTTTTAACACACACTTATAAGCTTAAATTTATCTCTGTGTGTGACATTCAATACAAAAAAGTATACGAATACTAGAAATTTTTAATTTAAAATTAAATACTGTTACGATATAAAATTCATCTTTTTCCTCTGTTAATTAAAAATTAATTTAAAAAAAGAAAAAAGTTAAAAAAAATTTATATCGATAATATCAAATACTGTGTAGTTTGCGGAATTTGTGTGGGAAACATTAATTAAAAGTTCACAAAATGCTACAATTGTTTGAAATCTTTATGCAGCAAAATAAATCGCCGTTTTTTGTTTCGATTAAATCGAGAGATAGTCACGATCTTGTTTCTTTGCAGCTCGTCTGTTTGCACCACTATTAGCACCGGTTCGAGGCAAAAAATCTGAACGATTAGGGATCGAGTAGTGAGAGGAGAGAAAAGTGGCGGGAGAAGAATCGCGAGAAACGGATTCGGGCCGCATTTTGGAGCGAACGAGCTCTGTGAATTTTCCGCTCCGTCGAGCGTTTCGCGGCGATTTACGTTCTACGAGCAATTAAACGTACAATTAGAGTGCGGAGTGTTAGCCAAGATATGTGCGTTTGTGTGTTATGGCTTGTGTACGCTACTCTCTCCCTGGCGCCAATACGCTACATTGAAGAAAGGGGGGAATAATATCGGTACACGGTAGCTCCGCAAGCCTAATCAATTAACCATTTCAATCGATCGGCTTCTTCTGACGAGGTCTGTGATTATTTATTCTCAATTCGCTCTCGTGCTGTCAATATTATACCGATGTTACATAAAATCTAATATAAAGCTAACATTGGAAATTTTATTTTAAAATTATAATTAGAATCATATAAAATAGAAAAATATTTTAAAATAAAATACAGAGAATTCTAGTATCTAGAACTTTTTACGTTATAATATAATTTATATAAAAGCGTTATTCGTGTATCAATTATAAATAATTACTCGCTTCACAAGTGTACAATATAAAAAACCAGAATAATATTAAATTAAATTAAATTGAACTCGTGAGTTAATAACTGTAATTATTACAATTGCTAATAAGTGCGATATAATATAAATAAAAAGTAATATAAAAATACACACATCCGCGTGCATTCTCGGATGCAGCCTGCATCTACATCGAGAGCGCACTTACCCCTCCATATATAGGGTGTCAATAACTATATACGGGTGGCAACGTTCTCGCGAGATTTCTTCAGGGATTGAGGGAGTGACGTATGTACAGAGAAGAGAAGAAAAGCAACCGAGAAACGACTCGCGAACGACGATGTGTACGCTTCGGGAATGCACGATGTAGCCGGCGACCGTGCAAAAATCCGCGACTCCTAGGAACGACCTAGGATTCCCTCCATTTCTGCCATATATGTACACATGCACGTTCGAAAGTGCGATGAACGCGAACCTGCGACCTGCGACCTGCGAATCTCAACCTGAGGGTTCTCCTCTCATTATCAACATTAAAATCTTGAATGTGTCAAAGTGTAATGGAGCAAAATTATAAATTATCTTCATTTTTATATTTTTGTTTAGAAAGATTTTTATCTATTTGTTAATTAATGTCTACTGATCGGTTGGCTAATTAGAAGAGTTATAAAAAGCTTTGCTATTTTTTTATGATAAAGAGTCTTGATCAATCAATTTTCTTTCTTTCATAATAATAAAATTATGGAAGATATATAATGTTTTGTTTACGCAGTAGAATTTGAGAATTTAATATGCAAAATTTAGTTTTTGTAGCAATCGATTTTCTCGCGTACGGGCTTCGTCGATATATCGAGAATGGCAAAGAGGTTACCGTGTTGTACGAGCAACGCGCGAGAGAAATGTGGCATACTTAGAGGATCGCGATATCTTGCGAGATAAACGCGAATCCGTGAGTCTAATGTAACACGAAATCTTGAAAATGAAAATCTGTCGTTCTGTTGGTGAAAATTGAATGCCACATGATTCTCCTCGAAAATATAATCATTTTATTAGACTATTAGATGTACAGAGATGCTTTAAAATTTCAGCGATGTCTTTTTATTTCTATAATTTAGGTTCTTTAACTTTCAATTTAAGTGAAAGTCATTCACGATGTAGCTTAATGAATAAAGATAATGAGTATAAAAATTGTGTACGATTTATAAATAATAAATAATAAAGTTTTTCGTCGATTGTTTAACGTTTAATTTTTTTCCATAAAGTTTTATTATTGCAAAATTAGCTAATATATAGGAAAGAATAACTTACCATTTAATAAGTAAGTCGCTTAATACAATGAAGCAAGATTTTGTTAATATCATCATTATCTCTTATCATTAATATCGTTAATAAATTTTGACTACTTGATATTTTGCAAGCTTGCAATATAAACAAGTAACTTTAAGCAATACACGCGCCTATCGATATTCTTTCGCATTTCTAAAAAACTACAGGCTACCAGTCTACAGCAAGATAACGACATTCTGATTAGACATATAGATATTCGATAATTATCGTATAGATAACACGTGATAACGTATCAGAAGGTATCCGGATGCATCGGATGTGCATCTGAGAGAGAGACTCGATAAGTTCAGACGAATAATCTCACGTTGCACAATTACTTTCTTTTCTAATCCTCTCCTTCGATGATACAAGTCGCCGTTTTAATATAATCCACGAGTTAATAAATCAAGTGACGATACTTGAAATCATATCACACTATCACATCCCGATCACGATCGCGAACAAAATATTGGAGGATCACGTAGATCACGATCGATTCGCGAATCGAAGATACACATGCAACGTCGAGCGCTGCGCGACGCCAACTGAGTGCTGAGCGCGTGAAGCGTGAAGCACACTCGGTACTCGGTGATGGTCTATGTCTACGCGTCAACGGGGCCCGAGCGACGCCAGATCCTATTGGTCGACGAGACAAGATCTTCGTGGTCCCGCGGCCAGTCGGCTGCAGGTGCATCCGTGTGAGTAAACGCGCTGCACACGGCGCGCGCTTTTCGAAATAGAAATGTTTTGTCCAATATCGATACTTTTATGCTCACTCGATATATCGGGTATTATTCCATATTGAAAAAATATATTTAATATTCGATGTTTTTCGTAAGTATAAATATTTCCAAGTAATACCTTCGCGTTGTGATATTTAAGAAATTAAATTCGAATTAAATTGAAAAATTGAGATTCAGAATTAAATCAATTATTAAATTAATTAAGATAAAAAATTATTTAGTTAAATCAGTTTTTAAATGAAAATTAAAATTTATGCAGAAGATAAGTTATGCAAGATAAATGAAACTTATAAGATCAAAATATTTTTAGACATATTGACGCGGATTCTTGATATAGAAGCTGACAATTGCAATAGATAGATAATCGCATGCCATACAGATCACCGCAACAGGTTACAGGGGCTTCAAAGTTCATTAGAGAATACTGGCTTGTAGGCCCGCTAATTGTCGATTAATTACAACTAATCATCCACGCCAATTTGCTCTGTTTCCATGAGACTAACTGCATGTGTCCCGCTCGCGGCGATGATAGATCCGGTCGTGTTAATTAGTCACTATCCGCAATTACAGCGACATCGTTTTGCGCTAATCATCGCATGCTCGTTGCGGCGAACATTCGCGGCAATAGATAATAAACAAAATTCAGTATTAATAGATCCATATATAAAATTCAAGCAATACAAAAATAAGATCGTAATTGTATGTATGTGTATAGTACTCACGTTTGTAGAAAGTTGACTGGTTAACGAGTGCACCTTCTCTTGAGCGTCTAACAGTTCGCGACGCAATTTTCTCAATTCGTGAGCCTGCTTCTCTTCAGCCGAGCTGTAAAGGCTGCTCGCGGTAGACACCAGCGATACCGAAGAACCGTGAACTAAAGCAAATGCAAAAGATTTCTTTTGTATCGCACATTAATTATCGATTCGAACTTTCATTCTAGAATCAATATTAATATTCGAGGAACTTTAAATTTTTAATCTGATTACACAAAGGACATTGAATTTCAAAAATTATATTAATTTTATCATTCGTGTATAAATCTACAAAGTACAAAAATTCAGATTAATTTTCAAAGTTTTCCTTTTTCCAACTGCTAAAAATTTTTATATTACTTTGAGACAATTTGTATAATATAACTTTCTTTTTCTACACCAAATGAGAATTTCTTATAAGAAATTAAATTTAAATTACAATTTACTATTCTTGAAAAACTTTTTCCTCTTGCATTTATTACTTTTATTATTTTTCCCTCTTAATTATATATTCTTATTACTCTTTCTCTTCATTGCTAATTACTATTCTTTTTGCTGTCTTTTCTTTAAATCAGTGTATGTGTGTGTATATTACTATTTTTCTCTTTGCTACTCTTTGTTATTCCTTTTGCTACTAAGAGCATTATTTTCTTTCGCTTTTAATTAACTATTCGGTTTGCTTCCATTAGCAACATGTAATCAACTTTCGACTCCAACACATTTTAAAATTAATTAAACCAAGAGTAGCAGTCGCGAGTTGCTTTAGCCGGCAAAAGAGGACTTCGAGTATTTCGGTTAACCCCGACAACGAGAAATACGTTTGTCTACCAGTCGAGTGCGCGCGCAATTAGTCGATCCCAGAAAAAGCCTCTAATTAAAGGATAAGCTTACTTCCACTTGACAAGAAGTCGAGAACCACTTCCTGAGATGGTTTGCAGCATCGCGTACATTCAATTTCGCGGCAATCGAGCGAGAGCTATCGATCCATCCCATCGAATCGATATTCTGACTTAAATTTATCATTATTTTCATATTCAAATATTGTTCGTTTAATCAAACGTGATTATGATTCTGAAGTTATGTAATATTCTTATATAACGATGGTGAGCAAGTATACAGCAGATAATGAATAAGTACATAGCAGATATATATTCTGCTTTCAATCTTGGCCTAGAATATTGATGAAGCATCGCGCATGCATGCAGCTACACAAGCAACACGATTGAAAGATGTACTTTGGCACAATAGGCAACGTCGAATCTGCGACAGGAATAACTATCAGCACAATATGTCGAGGACACGTGGAAAACACTCGGTGAATTATATTTGCGTGATAGAGTGAGTCCTGTAATCTTCGGAAAATCCAGAATCTAAGAAGTCAAAGATTCTAGAAGTGGAAGATTTTAGAATTTATGATTCTTCGTTATTCCAGAAAGATCTCTAATATTTTGAAGTCTATAATTTCAAAATTTTTGGAACATGCATATTTCTAATGCAGGCTCCTAGATCATAGAATCCAAAGATTCTAGGAGTCGAGGCTGCAATAAATCTTAGAATTTATGATCTTTAAAACTAAAAACTTTAGAATTTACTCTACATTTCAAAATCTAAGAATCTAAAAAATCGAGGGTCCAATTATTTTAGAATCTATAATTTTTAAATCTAAAAATTTTAGAATCTAGACTTTTATATTCTAAAATAGAGAGATTCTGGAAATATCAGAGATTTTAAAATTTATGATTTTCGATTTCAAAAATCAATTGTTTTTCTGTAACTTTTCAAATTTAAAGATTTTGAAAGCTCTGTTCCTAGATTCTAAAATTGTTATTAATATACACTGTGAAAAATCTTCGAATGCGAGGATTCGATCGAACTTGGGTCTTAAAAAATCCGCGGGTGCGTGTGAGAGCGATTCTTGAGTGCGTATGTGTGTGTTACGACTCTGTGTTTTTTGATACTTATGCATGAAAACCGGGCTCGCCGAGTGTATACTATCGCACTACCTTGGGAATGTCCTGTCCCGCAGATGGCTAAAACGGTCAATCAAATTGTTCTGCGTTATTTCACGGTTAAATTGATTAATTAAAGAGTAAGTGAAAGAAGAGAGCCGGAAAAAGAGAAAAAACTAGACGATTGAGAACTGATCGAATGTTGAAGTCGTTCGCATTTTCTAAGTATGCTATAATACTATGCATACCGCAATCAGATCAAAATTGAAATTAGCCCTCACGATAATCGACATTTGACTCAGATATACAAAATAGAAGTGAAATAATGTTTCTAATTTTATAAGTACACATACACGTATATATTTTTTAATAACATTAAGAAAAAAATATATATTAATATTGTATTTAATCTATAATTAAAGATACTTTTATATTTTCTTAATATAACATTTAGTTATCAAAAGATTGCGGAGTTTTAAAGTGTCATATATTATGGAATTTGTTTATATAGTGCTATTATATTATTTTGAATTAAAATATTATATAAAGAACTTTTTAAAAATTACTTAAGCAAATAGAAATCAATGAACGAGATATTGACAATTCTCACCTGATGGAGTTACTCCTGTTTAACCTGGGCGGTGCCGGAGATCCTGTAGAGTCCCTTTGATGCATTAAGAGACGGGCATGTGTTAAGCTCGCGCGATGCGAGCCTAATGATTCCACGCTGTCTGCCTCGCATAAACCCATCCCTAAAAAAAAAAATCATGGTTCCAAGTTAAAAAAAATTGTATATGAATTTTGTAAAATAAAAAAAATTGTAAATAAAAAATTAAAATAAATTATGATAAAATGAAATAAATACAAAATAAATATATAAATTGACATATTGATCAAAAATTTACACATTATCTTTGAATTTAATATTTAAAAAAATTATTATATTGATCAAATTACCTTGAGATCGTCCGCTAGGCGTGTAGGTATTGCTATGTCTCATCCACGAAGTGGTATAAGGACTGTTGGGCGTGCCGTAGTAGCCTTGAAGATCAGGTGCTGCATAATTACTGCACGTATCACTGAGACTACCGTCAGACGGTTTCAGTACTCGGGGTGAAAATGAGGTACTCGCCGGTCCAACACCAGTTCCTCTCTCGCGATGATGAGCGGAGGCGAAGAGAGCGGTGAATTCTGGACTGCCTGGCTTCGGCAGACTCTGAGAGCCCAACATGAGACGATCCCGGACTGATTGAGAGAGCTGACTGGCGCTGGGACCGGTGAGACTATAGCTCTTATAGTGGTGACCCTGGTTGGATCCTGAAGAGTTGGCTTGCAATTCCGTCGTGCACGTTTGCGTGCCGCCGGATACTTTAACCTGCATCCAGAAGATAAACAATTCTAACTTAATCGATTCTACTAATTTAATCTTAAAAGTCAAAGATTTTAAAAGATATAATCTTTGATTCTCCAAAATCCAGAGATTTCAAAATTTGTGACTATAATTTCTAGAATTCGAGGGTTTAGAATTAGAAGATTTTAATATCTATAATTCTAGACACACAAGAATTAATAACTTTTACGCTACCTTGGTCCTTGGCACAGCGCTAACTTGAGCCGTCCTAGTGGCGTCCTTGTTGCCATTTTGAACACCGTTGGGACTCGGACTAGTGCCCGCACTGTGCCTTTTAACGTAGCCGAAACTTTGCGGTACCCCGCGAACCTTGCTACTTCCGCTGGTTGACGTACCCGACGAAACTTTCTGTGGTTTCTCGCCATTCGCATATTCGGCCATGGCCTGCTTCCGATGCTTATCCTGTATATTTCAATCATTTTATTCAAGTTATTAATATATTATGTAATAGAATAAAAAAAGCTACTTTTGTGATTTTAATTTGAATTATAAATTAATAATCTCATCGTAGCTCTATTTTTTCTACAAGATTATCAACTTTATTATTAAACTATTAATATAAGATTAAGATCAAACAATCAATTTTAGTATTTATTTGTCTAAATAGTATCAACAACAATATGAAAGAATATGGATACAAAGAAATCGAGACCTAAAAGTTTCAATATTTCTTGAAGTATCTCACCTGCGATCTTCTGGAGGGACTAGGACTGGGAGGTGCACCCTCCTTGTCTCTCTCCCTTGCGGCACCCGCCTCGATATATTTCTTCCATTGTTGGCTGTTGGAGCTGTTGCTAGAACTGTTCGAACCTTGCTGCTGCTGCTGTTGCTGTTGCTGCTGCTGGTGCTTAAAGGCCGAGCTCTCGGTTTGCTGAGAGCTGTCGGACTTTTTTACGTGCGGATGGTGACCGCCGGGATGTCCGCGTGAGCCCACCACACGGTACATCAGGTTATGACTGTTACCTTGCTGCGCCCCTTGGGGGGTGGCCGAACCTCCGCCACCCCCCACAATCACGCCCCCTCCGCCTGGCACCCTCTATTTTCAACAGAGATAATGTATATATGTTAATTGTATATAAGTTGTATATTTTAATATATTCAGAAATCATATCAATTATATTTCTTAAAGTTATATCTAAAAAGAAAATATAAGAGATATTAAACAAAAATTTATAGTAAAACGATTCTGAGATTATCTATTAGTCTTATGTTAGATATTTTATCGACATTTATTGTCAATAAATTGTTAAAAATATTGAGTATCTAAAATGAGATCGATGTCACTGTCATCATCCGCGTAATCAGTTAAAGACTCATAATAAGAGGGGTATCGATTTCCAAGCTTGGTAGAAGTCAGAACCCATGTGGCATGATTCAGAGCATAGGCGCCACCGCGACGAGACGCTACAACAATTTTCGTTGCTATTCTCATCCTCTATTCATATCCTATTTTTCGTATAAGTGCGATATTATATAATAATAAGAATAATAAGTAATATTATTCGAGAAACAAATTCCATGAATATAAAAATATAATCTTGTGTATAAAAGACAGAGAGAGAGAGAGAGATCATTGATGATTAACAAGGATCTTTTCTTTCTAAGAAAATTCTGAAAATCATTACTTAATTTTTTCCCTAAAAAAGATATACACATTTCTGAAATGAATAAGAAGAAAAAGAAATCTGACGAAACCTTTGAAAACTGAAATATTCATCAAAATGAAACGAGGGTGTAAACCAATCCACCATCTTTCTACATGCAGAATCGCGAATGACTCACAGGGGTGGAAGCAGGAAGGCTCTTTGGATTTTTACGACAAGGATCGTAAACGTACGCATAGAAAGACCATAAATGCGGCACAAAAGATCCGCGAGTCAGACGCGTTTTTTTCTACCAGTCTGTCTTTGCAAAGAACCACATCCAGACCGATTCATTCTTTTTTTCCATATAAAATTACTCTCTCCTTTATTTAAAAAAAGATAACTAAAAGTTTCAACTGCGTCCTGTATCAGCAATATGAGAATTTTAATTATAAGCATTTGATTTGCAAGGCAAATGATTTTAATTATACAATACTTATATCTTCTCCCATACACCGATCTTTGTTTTCGCCATTTTTCTGCTTTCTATATTTAGTTTTTTTCTAATCTCTGAATTTATTACATTTCTACTTTTCATATTTTTTTATCTCTGATATTTTGCCACTTTCCCATTTTTTCTATTTTTTCTGAATTTGATTTTTCTATCACTGTCGAACTTGCTTTCTTCGATCATTAATATTTAATTCTTTTTACTCTACTACTACCGAATTTATCATTTTTTCATATCGAAGGCGATACGTCACACGTTAGGCGCAATCAACCTTGTCGGCAGGAAACAGCAAACATTCGCGTGCCTTTGAAGTACGCGAACCGGGTGCAGAGAGTCCAAATAAACCGGGCGCACCTCTCTTCCAAGTAGATGGTTTTCCGAGACTCTTTTGCGGTACAGTCTGGGGTTTATTTTTTGAAATCCTCGGCGTGGAAACAACCCATTTTTTACGATCGTACAGCATGCAGCACAGCAAGGCGACGACACCTCGAGTGTTGACTGGGATGATATCGATTTGTCGTCTCGAGGACAATTTTCGAACAAAGAACGAGAATTTCTTTCTCTTCAGTTTATGTTTCCTTTCAGAATTATATCCAGTATAGAAAACTCTATATAATATAGTCTTCTAGTAGTCCACACATATTGCAGATATTCTTTAGCTAATATTTAGGATCATTATTTCATATAAAATTATGACTTAGAGAGATAAATAATTAAAAATTAAGGTTTTCTCAAGGTGTTTCCAACCAATTTTGAACGGTAATATTATTTCGCTGCTCATTTAATTATTTCATTGATTTTAAACCAGAGAAATTACTCACCATAAATTTTCTCTTCTACGTGATAAAAGTTTGCAATTTTGCTTATCCTTCACACATAACGAACTTTTCTCTATTACAATTTTATTTTATTGTCGATTATTTCATTCATTCTCTCTTTTCTCTATTCCTTTTCATAAAAATTTTTATTATTTTTGACCATGATTATACATACAAAATATTTTTAGAACTGCAATGCTATATTCTATATAAAAAGTATTTTTTTAAGATTTTTGTGCAAATTGATTCAGATTGTGTAAATTAAAAATAATTAATTGATTTAATTAATTGATTTTACATAAATTATTATTCCTGGAATAAATTCAAATCGCAATCACGAAACACCTGAATCAGTTGAAGCTGATTGTGTCGTAATAAACAGCAAATCTATGAAGATCTATCCTGCGGATTTCTCTATGGAAAAATTAGAGATATTCGTATCAACAGCGACTTTCGATTCGTTTTTACGGCAATTTCAAAAATTTTATCTAAAAAATTTAAATATTTTATTAACTAATTGAAAAGTTATAAATTTTCTAATTAAACAATTTAAATGAATTCATTTTTACTTCATTTACACACTATTCTTTATCATTGTCTGTTGGATTACGTATGACATATTAATCTACTAATAAATTTTCTATTTGAAATAGTTTAGACTTTTTTATTTAATTTTATTTAATAAGGGGTAGTTCTTTACTATCCTCGATACCGTTTTCACTCTGATGAGGATACACTCGATATTACTTCACCAATTAAGACAATTTATGTTTACCGCGATTTTCACCTCGAAAAATATAAAGGGCAGCGCTTTATCACCCCCGCACCTTCGGTACGATTCCAAACGTAACATACGAGGCGTCCGAATGTTAACCGCCGACTGTGAGGGTCGACGATCCATAGCTCACCAGCCCTTTCGCCCCCACTTCTCCCGCGCACACCGTGTAATATTACTAACCGGGAAGTATACTCGCCCTCCCGAATACTGCACCCATCCACTACAGGGTGCCACAGAAGTAAAACGACTCGATTCAATTTACGATAAGAGCACAAAAATCAAGATTTTACATTCACACTTGAATTGCATTTTCTTTCTAACCGATATTTTATTTATTACAGCTTAACATTTTTTTTATTTATTTGTTAACATTTATAGAATGTCTGTGTAATTCTTATAAAAAATTTATCCCTCACAATTATGGACATTACTACATATTAAATATTAATTATAAAGTTGTCAGGGAAACTGTCCTTCAGAATTCAGAGCGCGAGATTTTAATTCCATCCTAAAAGAAGACACATATGTACATGTTATATTTTAATTTCAAGTTAAAATTCTGCCCACATACAGATCTCATTAAATATTTTTATAAACCAAAAGGGAGCTATTTTTTTTTCGTCCAAAAAAAGAATAAAGAATGAAGTATATCGTAATTAAAATGTTGGATTATAATATCATCAGAGAAAGAGAGAGAGAGAGAGAAAAAAGTTAGATTTTTTTTTATTTCGGAAAGTACGATGTTTCTGCGAGCTCGTTTGCCCTAAAGCACCGTTTAATCGACTTGATTTACGTCCGAAAGGCTACAAAAGAGAAGCATTACCTTGGTCAGCGATAAGAAGACCATGTACGAACCGAGTTTCCTACGTTCCCATTCCCTTATCTCGAAGGGGTTCGAAAAGGGTTGTTACACCGGAACCGATAGCTCTCGTTTAAGATGGGCCTTGCGCGACAGTGAACGAGTCGATAGTTCAAGACCAGCGGATTAGAGAGAGAGGATTATCCGGGAACGACGTAAAGACATCTTCGAAGGAAAAAAGTCACCCTTTCTTGCTATAATCCTTTTACTGTAGTTCGATCGTTCTATATGTATGAATACATATTATGAAATGAAAGAAACTTTATAAATTTTAGTTATTATATCAATGTATCAATAGTATTATATATAGTAAATTAATAATAGTTATAAAAGATTTTATTATGATTAAAATTAAGTGTGTGGAAAAAATTAAATGGTATAATATATGAAATAAATAAATAATTAATATACAGAGTGCCTTTCGCAAACCTCTAAATTTCCATTTAAGAGTGGATTCTCTGATCAATTTAAAATGATTTTTTTCCTCAGCAAAAATATCGAAAATGTCATCATTTTTTGCAGGCTTCCAATTTTTGCCATTATATATCTTTACAACTAACAATAAGTCTTAAATTAAAAAATTTTATTAAAATAAAATCCATCTCTGAAATTTACTAAAAAATGTAATTGTATTAATCTTTTAACTCCATCAAATTTAGTTTGCGAGAAAGCTTTTTTTTCAATCGTTTATAACTCGAAAATTATTGATGTCTCAACATTTTGAGAAGAAATCATCTTTAAATTGGCCAGAGAATCCGCCCTTAAAAGGATATTCGGTGGTTTTGAGTCACCCTATATATATATATATATATATACGAGCGAGAGCTATCGATCCATCCCATCGAATCGATATTCTGACTTAAATTTATCATTATTTTCATATTCAAATATTGTTCGTTTAATCAAACGTGATTATGATTCTGAAGTTATGTAATATTCTTATATAACGATGGTGAGCAAGTATACAGCAGATAATGAATAAGTACATAGCAGATATATATTCTGCTTTCAATCTTGGCCTAGAATATTGATGAAGCATCGCGCATGCATGCAGCTACACAAGCAACACGATTGAAAGATGTACTTTGGCACAATAGGCAACGTCGAATCTGCGACAGGAATAACTATCAGCACAATATGTCGAGGACACGTGGAAAACACTCGGTGAATTATATTTGCGTGATAGAGTGAGTCCTGTAATCTTCGGAAAATCCAGAATCTAAGAAGTCAAAGATTCTAGAAGTGGAAGATTTTAGAATTTATGATTCTTCGTTATTCCAGAAAGATCTCTAATATTTTGAAGTCTATAATTTCAAAATTTTTGGAACATGCATATTTCTAATGCAGGCTCCTAGATCATAGAATCCAAAGATTCTAGGAGTCGAGGCTGCAATAAATCTTAGAATTTATGATCTTTAAAACTAAAAACTTTAGAATTTACTCTACATTTCAAAATCTAAGAATCTAAAAAATCGAGGGTCCAATTATTTTAGAATCTATAATTTTTAAATCTAAAAATTTTAGAATCTAGACTTTTATATTCTAAAATAGAGAGATTCTGGAAATATCAGAGATTTTAAAATTTATGATTTTCGATTTCAAAAATCAATTGTTTTTCTGTAACTTTTCAAATTTAAAGATTTTGAAAGCTCTGTTCCTAGATTCTAAAATTGTTATTAATATACACTGTGAAAAATCTTCGAATGCGAGGATTCGATCGAACTTGGGTCTTAAAAAATCCGCGGGTGCGTGTGAGAGCGATTCTTGAGTGCGTATGTGTGTGTTACGACTCTGTGTTTTTTGATACTTATGCATGAAAACCGGGCTCGCCGAGTGTATACTATCGCACTACCTTGGGAATGTCCTGTCCCGCAGATGGCTAAAACGGTCAATCAAATTGTTCTGCGTTATTTCACGGTTAAATTGATTAATTAAAGAGTAAGTGAAAGAAGAGAGCCGGAAAAAGAGAAAAAACTAGACGATTGAGAACTGATCGAATGTTGAAGTCGTTCGCATTTTCTAAGTATGCTATAATACTATGCATACCGCAATCAGATCAAAATTGAAATTAGCCCTCACGATAATCGACATTTGACTCAGATATACAAAATAGAAGTGAAATAATGTTTCTAATTTTATAAGTACACATACACGTATATATTTTTTAATAACATTAAGAAAAAAATATATATTAATATTGTATTTAATCTATAATTAAAGATACTTTTATATTTTCTTAATATAACATTTAGTTATCAAAAGATTGCGGAGTTTTAAAGTGTCATATATTATGGAATTTGTTTATATAGTGCTATTATATTATTTTGAATTAAAATATTATATAAAGAACTTTTTAAAAATTACTTAAGCAAATAGAAATCAATGAACGAGATATTGACAATTCTCACCTGATGGAGTTACTCCTGTTTAACCTGGGCGGTGCCGGAGATCCTGTAGAGTCCCTTTGATGCATTAAGAGACGGGCATGTGTTAAGCTCGCGCGATGCGAGCCTAATGATTCCACGCTGTCTGCCTCGCATAAACCCATCCCTAAAAAAAAAAATCATGGTTCCAAGTTAAAAAAAATTGTATATGAATTTTGTAAAATAAAAAAAATTGTAAATAAAAAATTAAAATAAATTATGATAAAATGAAATAAATACAAAATAAATATATAAATTGACATATTGATCAAAAATTTACACATTATCTTTGAATTTAATATTTAAAAAAATTATTATATTGATCAAATTACCTTGAGATCGTCCGCTAGGCGTGTAGGTATTGCTATGTCTCATCCACGAAGTGGTATAAGGACTGTTGGGCGTGCCGTAGTAGCCTTGAAGATCAGGTGCTGCATAATTACTGCACGTATCACTGAGACTACCGTCAGACGGTTTCAGTACTCGGGGTGAAAATGAGGTACTCGCCGGTCCAACACCAGTTCCTCTCTCGCGATGATGAGCGGAGGCGAAGAGAGCGGTGAATTCTGGACTGCCTGGCTTCGGCAGACTCTGAGAGCCCAACATGAGACGATCCCGGACTGATTGAGAGAGCTGACTGGCGCTGGGACCGGTGAGACTATAGCTCTTATAGTGGTGACCCTGGTTGGATCCTGAAGAGTTGGCTTGCAATTCCGTCGTGCACGTTTGCGTGCCGCCGGATACTTTAACCTGCATCCAGAAGATAAACAATTCTAACTTAATCGATTCTACTAATTTAATCTTAAAAGTCAAAGATTTTAAAAGATATAATCTTTGATTCTCCAAAATCCAGAGATTTCAAAATTTGTGACTATAATTTCTAGAATTCGAGGGTTTAGAATTAGAAGATTTTAATATCTATAATTCTAGACACACAAGAATTAATAACTTTTACGCTACCTTGGTCCTTGGCACAGCGCTAACTTGAGCCGTCCTAGTGGCGTCCTTGTTGCCATTTTGAACACCGTTGGGACTCGGACTAGTGCCCGCACTGTGCCTTTTAACGTAGCCGAAACTTTGCGGTACCCCGCGAACCTTGCTACTTCCGCTGGTTGACGTACCCGACGAAACTTTCTGTGGTTTCTCGCCATTCGCATATTCGGCCATGGCCTGCTTCCGATGCTTATCCTGTATATTTCAATCATTTTATTCAAGTTATTAATATATTATGTAATAGAATAAAAAAAGCTACTTTTGTGATTTTAATTTGAATTATAAATTAATAATCTCATCGTAGCTCTATTTTTTCTACAAGATTATCAACTTTATTATTAAACTATTAATATAAGATTAAGATCAAACAATCAATTTTAGTATTTATTTGTCTAAATAGTATCAACAACAATATGAAAGAATATGGATACAAAGAAATCGAGACCTAAAAGTTTCAATATTTCTTGAAGTATCTCACCTGCGATCTTCTGGAGGGACTAGGACTGGGAGGTGCACCCTCCTTGTCTCTCTCCCTTGCGGCACCCGCCTCGATATATTTCTTCCATTGTTGGCTGTTGGAGCTGTTGCTAGAACTGTTCGAACCTTGCTGCTGCTGCTGTTGCTGTTGCTGCTGCTGGTGCTTAAAGGCCGAGCTCTCGGTTTGCTGAGAGCTGTCGGACTTTTTTACGTGCGGATGGTGACCGCCGGGATGTCCGCGTGAGCCCACCACACGGTACATCAGGTTATGACTGTTACCTTGCTGCGCCCCTTGGGGGGTGGCCGAACCTCCGCCACCCCCCACAATCACGCCCCCTCCGCCTGGCACCCTCTATTTTCAACAGAGATAATGTATATATGTTAATTGTATATAAGTTGTATATTTTAATATATTCAGAAATCATATCAATTATATTTCTTAAAGTTATATCTAAAAAGAAAATATAAGAGATATTAAACAAAAATTTATAGTAAAACGATTCTGAGATTATCTATTAGTCTTATGTTAGATATTTTATCGACATTTATTGTCAATAAATTGTTAAAAATATTGAGTATCTAAAATGAGATCGATGTCACTGTCATCATCCGCGTAATCAGTTAAAGACTCATAATAAGAGGGGTATCGATTTCCAAGCTTGGTAGAAGTCAGAACCCATGTGGCATGATTCAGAGCATAGGCGCCACCGCGACGAGACGCTACAACAATTTTCGTTGCTATTCTCATCCTCTATTCATATCCTATTTTTCGTATAAGTGCGATATTATATAATAATAAGAATAATAAGTAATATTATTCGAGAAACAAATTCCATGAATATAAAAATATAATCTTGTGTATAAAAGACAGAGAGAGAGAGAGAGATCATTGATGATTAACAAGGATCTTTTCTTTCTAAGAAAATTCTGAAAATCATTACTTAATTTTTTCCCTAAAAAAGATATACACATTTCTGAAATGAATAAGAAGAAAAAGAAATCTGACGAAACCTTTGAAAACTGAAATATTCATCAAAATGAAACGAGGGTGTAAACCAATCCACCATCTTTCTACATGCAGAATCGCGAATGACTCACAGGGGTGGAAGCAGGAAGGCTCTTTGGATTTTTACGACAAGGATCGTAAACGTACGCATAGAAAGACCATAAATGCGGCACAAAAGATCCGCGAGTCAGACGCGTTTTTTTCTACCAGTCTGTCTTTGCAAAGAACCACATCCAGACCGATTCATTCTTTTTTTCCATATAAAATTACTCTCTCCTTTATTTAAAAAAAGATAACTAAAAGTTTCAACTGCGTCCTGTATCAGCAATATGAGAATTTTAATTATAAGCATTTGATTTGCAAGGCAAATGATTTTAATTATACAATACTTATATCTTCTCCCATACACCGATCTTTGTTTTCGCCATTTTTCTGCTTTCTATATTTAGTTTTTTTCTAATCTCTGAATTTATTACATTTCTACTTTTCATATTTTTTTATCTCTGATATTTTGCCACTTTCCCATTTTTTCTATTTTTTCTGAATTTGATTTTTCTATCACTGTCGAACTTGCTTTCTTCGATCATTAATATTTAATTCTTTTTACTCTACTACTACCGAATTTATCATTTTTTCATATCGAAGGCGATACGTCACACGTTAGGCGCAATCAACCTTGTCGGCAGGAAACAGCAAACATTCGCGTGCCTTTGAAGTACGCGAACCGGGTGCAGAGAGTCCAAATAAACCGGGCGCACCTCTCTTCCAAGTAGATGGTTTTCCGAGACTCTTTTGCGGTACAGTCTGGGGTTTATTTTTTGAAATCCTCGGCGTGGAAACAACCCATTTTTTACGATCGTACAGCATGCAGCACAGCAAGGCGACGACACCTCGAGTGTTGACTAGGATGATATCGATTTGTCGTCTCGAGGACAATTTTCGAACAAAGAACGAGAATTTCTTTCTCTTCAGTTTATGTTTCCTTTCAGAATTATATCCAGTATAGAAAACTCTATATAATATAGTCTTCTAGTAGTCCACACATATTGCAGATATTCTTTAGCTAATATTTAGGATCATTATTTCATATAAAATTATGACTTAGAGAGATAAATAATTAAAAATTAAGGTTTTCTCAAGGTGTTTCCAACCAATTTTGAACGGTAATATTATTTCGCTGCTCATTTAATTATTTCATTGATTTTAAACCAGAGAAATTACTCACCATAAATTTTCTCTTCTACGTGATAAAAGTTTGCAATTTTGCTTATCCTTCACACATAACGAACTTTTCTCTATTACAATTTTATTTTATTGTCGATTATTTCATTCATTCTCTCTTTTCTCTATTCCTTTTCATAAAAATTTTTATTATTTTTGACCATGATTATACATACAAAATATTTTTAGAACTGCAATGCTATATTCTATATAAAAAGTATTTTTTTAAGATTTTTGTGCAAATTGATTCAGATTGTGTAAATTAAAAATAATTAATTGATTTAATTAATTGATTTTACATAAATTATTATTCCTGGAATAAATTCAAATCGCAATCACGAAACACCTGAATCAGTTGAAGCTGATTGTGTCGTAATAAACAGCAAATCTACGAAGATCTATCCTGCGGATTTCTCTATGGAAAAATTAGAGATATTCGTATCAACAGCGACTTTCGATTCGTTTTTACGGCAATTTCAAAAATTTTATCTAAAAAATTTAAATATTTTATTAACTAATTGAAAAGTTATAAATTTTCTAATTAAACAATTTAAATGAATTCATTTTTACTTCATTTACACACTATTCTTTATCATTGTCTGTTGGATTACGTATGACATATTAATCTACTAATAAATTTTCTATTTGAAATAGTTTAGACTTTTTTATTTAATTTTATTTAATAAGGGGTAGTTCTTTACTATCCTCGATACCGTTTTCACTCTGATGAGGATACACTCGATATTACTTCACCAATTAAGACAATTTATGTTTACCGCGATTTTCACCTCGAAAAATATAAAGGGCAGCGCTTTATCACCCCCGCACCTTCGGTACGATTCCAAACGTAACATACGAGGCGTCCGAATGTTAACCGCCGACTGTGAGGGTCGACGATCCATAGCTCACCAGCCCTTTCGCCCCCACTTCTCCCGCGCACACCGTGTAATATTACTAACCGGGAAGTATACTCGCCCTCCCGAATACTGCACCCATCCACTACAGGGTGCCACAGAAGTAAAACGACTCGATTCAATTTACGATAAGAGCACAAAAATCAAGATTTTACATTCACACTTGAATTGCATTTTCTTTCTAACCGATATTTTATTTATTACAGCTTAACATTTTTTTTATTTATTTGTTAACATTTATAGAATGTCTGTGTAATTCTTATAAAAAATTTATCCCTCACAATTATGGACATTACTACATATTAAATATTAATTATAAAGTTGTCAGGGAAACTGTCCTTCAGAATTCAGAGCGCGAGATTTTAATTCCATCCTAAAAGAAGACACATATGTACATGTTATATTTTAATTTCAAGTTAAAATTCTGCCCACATACAGATCTCATTAAATATTTTTATAAACCAAAAGGGAGCTATTTTTTTTTCGTCCAAAAAAAGAATAAAGAATGAAGTATATCGTAATTAAAATGTTGGATTATAATATCATCAGAGAAAGAGAGAGAGAGAGAGAAAAAAGTTAGATTTTTTTTTATTTCGGAAAGTACGATGTTTCTGCGAGCTCGTTTGCCCTAAAGCACCGTTTAATCGACTTGATTTACGTCCGAAAGGCTACAAAAGAGAAGCATTACCTTGGTCAGCGATAAGAAGACCATGTACGAACCGAGTTTCCTACGTTCCCATTCCCTTATCTCGAAGGGGTTCGAAAAGGATTGTTACACCGGAACCGATAGCTCTCGTTTAAGATGGGCCTTGCGCGACAGTGAACGAGTCGATAGTTCGAGACCAGCGGATTAGAGAGAGAGGATTATCCGGGAACGACGTAAAGACATCTTCGAAGGAAAAAAGTCACCCTTTCTTGCTATAATCCTTTTACTGTAGTTCGATCGTTCTATATGTATGAATACATATTATGAAATGAAAGAAACTTTATAAATTTTAGTTATTATATCAATGTATCAATAGTATTATATATAGTAAATTAATAATAGTTATAAAAGATTTTATTATGATTAAAATTAAGTGTGTGGAAAAAATTAAATGGTATAATATATGAAATAAATAAATAATTAATATACAGAGTGCCTTTCGCAAACCTCTAAATTTCCATTTAAGAGTGGATTCTCTGATCAATTTAAAATGATTTTTTTCCTCAGCAAAAATATCGAAAATGTCATCATTTTTTGCAGGCTTCCAATTTTTGCCATTATATATCTTTACAACTAACAATAAGTCTTAAATTAAAAAATTTTATTAAAATAAAATCCATCTCTGAAATTTACTAAAAAATGTAATTGTATTAATCTTTTAACTCCATCAAATTTAGTTTGCGAGAAAGCTTTTTTTTCAATCGTTTATAACTCGAAAATTATTGATGTCTCAACATTTTGAGAAGAAATCATCTTTAAATTGGCCAGAGAATCCGCCCTTAAAAGGATATTCGGTGGTTTTGAGTCACCCTATATATATATATATATATATACATATTATTATAATATTTCGATCAAATAAATAATTATATAATGCCCATAATCAAATATAAAGAAAGAGAGAATTTATATTTGAAATAACTGTTATATTAAAAATTTAAAATATTGAAATATGCAATTAAATTTTGATTGTCTATCTCAAACTTTTGAAATAAAGATCAGCTTAAATATATTATTTCCTATAAATTCGTACTGCAGCCATAAACATTTAATTAACAACTATTACAGGGCTCAGCGACCGCCGAGATCGCAATTCAGTTGTGGTAAATGGCTCGTCAAAAGGAATCAAGAAGGATAGGGGACAGCAGTTATTATTTCATTATAATAATCGTCGTTAAAAAGGACGTTTATGTCGATACGATTTTAAAGCTATTAAAATGGTCGATTTGCGGTCGTGCAGTAATATACGGATAATTAATGGGTTGGCTTTTAACGGAAGAAAAAGTTATCGTGTGCGGTCTATCTTTGAAAAGAAAACGCTCATTATCCACCAGCTAGCTCTATTAAAAATTAATTCAACAAAAGTCGATTATTTCTGAAAGAATATAAGCGAAAAGTTAAATGAAGCTCACGGAAAAGCTTACTTCAATATAAAGATGTAGTTTAATATTTTCTTCTTTTCTTTAATAAAGTTATGAGTAACTTCAACGTAGTATATTTTCATATAATCAAAATAAGAAGCAGAATTAAGAAAAAATAATTTTTAATCAATCAAAGTTTTTATTTAAGCCTGAAATATCGCAAACATTTTTGTAACACATTTATGTTCTTTTTATTCTAAACTTTTTTCCATACAAGAAGAAAATGGAAGGAAACAAAAAAGCAGAAGGAAAAACAGCAGCATTTATTATTTCAATTAATAGATATTTATTCTATTCAACAACAATCTGCTGTGAGATCCGGTTGCATAACTGAATGCAGCGCAAATAATTTTTTTTCGCGTTTTCTTTCTCTCTTAAATATATATGTATTTTTTATCAAATTTGTCATTTAAATCAGAAAATGTGATATTCTAATTTTTAAGCGTGCTACCATGTGATTGAAAAGAATAGAATAATAAAATTAATATTATATATCTGTTTACGTATATTTAATACTTATAATACCTGTAGCCAATTTATTAATATTTTCATAATAATTTCGAATATTTTAACAAAAATTATTTTAGGTTTTAAATAGGAGCAACAATTTTTTTCCTCTCAATATTATAAGATTAATTTTATTATTTTACAAAATTATGATAAAAAGTCATCTAATAATAAAAATATTAAAACTTTGATTTCCATTTTTGTTTCGTTCTATTTCGAAAATTTATTTTACCAAAAATTTTTCGAAACGGGAAAAGAGCCGGCTATGATGCGAAAGTTATTTGTATATTGGAACGAATCTTTGGAGGCAGGGGATGGGAAAGCAGAAGAAAAGACAAAATAATGACAACAGGCAAATATTGAGAGAAAGTTTGGAAAGATTATCGTCGTAAGTGGATTTGGAAAGACGAATGGTATTTCCGTAAAAGCGGTTTGAATGACACGGGAAATTGTTTTTTCATAATCGATGCAACTGAAGAGAACATTTCGAAAACATGAATAGATAGTTAGAAAAGGATCTAAAGAAGGTCAAAAGAGCAACATATCTGATACGTAATTACTTTCGTGAATTCCACTTAGGAAGGGAATGGACTTTTAGGTCTAAATATATTAAAATGCATCCATATTGCGTTTCAAATATGACTTAAATGTTTTTAAAAAAATTACAAAAATTATATAATTAAACTTTTGCACAGAAATCGGTTTAATTTGATTTGTAATTATACCTTTATATTGCACAGATTTTTATAATTCTATTTGTGTATCCTTTTTGTTGTTAATTTTAGATTGTTAATTAAAGATCGTCAATTCTGATTTTGTTAAGAAAAAAAGAAAGAAAATTGCATGCGATAATATAAGAACGGAAGAACGTAGAGATTTTTTAAAGTGAGATTTTTAACAGTGAGATTCGCAAACGAGAAATTCATTTTTTTAAGGTGTGGGATACCTTAGTACACGACAGCTGCGCGATGCAACAGCTGACGCGCATATATACCCCATGCTTTAAAACTGGATTGGTATAGGTTTATGAGACTGTGTTTGTGCATATATCGTCGCGCTCTTTGCCCTTCTATACTGATTTTAATGTTAATTAAAAAGAAGATTGATCAATACTGTCGCACGAAATTTAACTCTGTTTCAAATAATTAAAGAAAGAAATAATAATTCATATTCAACAAAGCTTTAGATAAAAATTTGACTTATTTTAAAAAATGACTCATTTAATTGAGATATTTAAAGACGTTGAAAAACATTTTTTATAAATATATATTAATTGTATTAAAATATTTGCGCTTTGCCAAAAAGAAGTTTCTCTTTCAATTAAAAACGAAATTTCTCGATCAATTTTTCTATCGATTTATTAAATATATTAAATAATTCTGACTGATACGTTTCCAGTGAAATTATCACTATACAATTGGCTTGTTTCAAACTACGAGGATATATACACATATGCCAATTGTTGCAACAATGGTCTCTATAATCGAGAATATACTCGGCGGCTGTCATCATTAGTCCCTTTAATCATCTAACATGTTATTGTTGAGCCAATGATTATTGAATTGTGTTTGTATAGTAACCACAAATAGCAAATACCGTTCCCAATAATACCTCAAATTGCGTTAAAACAACAAACATTTAAAAAAATATAATACACGAAAATACAATTGCATGGGAATTACAAACGTAATTTCGATTTTTCCGTGGTCGCTTTAAAAAAATTTGTGAGTAGAAATATAATATTAAACATAATAATTAATTGAAAAATCAGAAAACAGGAGAAATTAAAAATAAAACTAGATTAAAATAGAATTTGAAAATAAGATTAAAAAAATATTTATCATAAACAGAGGTTTCTTTTTCGGCTATTCTTAACTTTTGCCTACCAGAAGAGTATATTAAATTAATATACTCTGCTTATTAATATTATTAATGAATAAACGACACAAGGATAATTAACCGGATACGACTTGGATAGTTGAATTAGAAAGAAATAAGAATAGACGCTATTTTTAAATATGCATTGAGTCTTTCTCTCTCTCTCTCTCTCATTCACTCAAATAGCGTGCTATCGATTTCGAGTTCACGGGTTCACTGACCTTGTGATGAGAGGAATGTCCCGTGTGATTGGCGGAGGTGTGATTTCCGGCGGGAATAGAGGCCAGCTCCTCAATCGTGAGCTCCGCCAAGGCGTCGTTCCCGCCGCTGCAACCGCCTAGAAGACCGCCGGCGACGACGCCGCCAACGCCGCCGACGACGCCGTTGCCGCCGGCGCTACCGCTTCCCAGACCAACGCTTCCAATGCAACCGCCATCCGACCTCGCGACCCCCGACGGTCGACTCTTCTGCACCCGCCTCGAGGTCACTAGTTCCTTCACCCCCGACAGTTCTCGTCGCGAGCTGCTCACGTACCTGCGAATTAATCCAAATCAGGTGTCGTTATTATTATCCGGAAAATAATGAGTTTAATCGTATGATATAATCACATTTGAATCGTATCTGCGGTATTTACGATTATTTGAAATATATGTAAATAATTATTTAAAATCGTTGTTTTACAATTATTTAAAAAGATACAGACAGTTCTCTTGTCCACTACTTCGCAAATTTCGTGATTTCCTCTATTTCTTACCTATCATATAATTATAAATTAATTATTCATTCCATTCATTATAACATTTTATTATTAACTTTAAAAATACTCATTTATCAGTATAGTTTCTTAAAATATAACACAAATGTTAAATAATATAGTATAACCTATGATTAACAATACTAAAATTTAAATTATAATATCTGGAAGAAAATTAAATATATAATGCAAAAATATTACAGTGGATTAATACGCCTCGTAAAAAAAAGTGCTTAATCCTGTACCAAGTTGATATTCAAGTTATTCACGAGTTCAACTTCTTGAGAAGAAAAAGAATCAAATAAAATTTCGCCGTAGGGGGGGGGGAGAGCGGACACCATCGCGCATCTCATCTCTAATTACTGAAATCTGCTTAATTAACGATTGCTGCAAAAAATTCTTTCTTTATCGTTTTCCTCATATCGTATTGTTATATACACCTAGTTGATTAAATAAAATTCTAGTCGTTTAAATCTACGCAATTAAATTTTAGACATTTTTGTTTTAAATGATTGTTGTATCGCTCTGAATTTATCGCTATAAATTAATTAAATTATAATTGTATATTATGCATATATATATATATATATATATTATTTTATTTAAAATAATTTATTATTTCAGCGAAACGCAGCGCACGGGAGATATCATTGACGGCAAATATATAGCAAAGTAATGAGTATATTTAATTGGATAACCTTGTACGTTCCGTTTAATGAATTTTTTAAGAGAAGAATTATAATTTTATCTAACAAAAGTAACGTGTCTCCTTCGGGAACGCAAGTTTGCTTTTCCACGAAGTACGAAATCGACCGCGCGCATTTCCACGGTCGCATTTTCCCGCAATCACGATAAGGAATCTTCGAAACAATAATGTCAAAGTAGTATTGTATAAAGCTCGACAAACATATCTTGCACGCGATTATGTGCGTTAAAGCGACACCGGAGGATTTCACCGGTCTTTTCGTTATTTTATATTCAATATGCAACCGCGATAGCGTTTTAAGTAAAATACACATCGAAATTAGATAAACACATGTGATATGAAGATCAAAAACATCGCATATAATGAAAAAAGTATGTTTTGCAAAGACGTTCTTTGTCTTTGTCGTTCAGTTTACAAAATTGCATTTTGTTTTACAAATAATTCGTTTCGCAAATATGTAGAAATACGAGAGATACGATATCGAGATAAGTCGGGCATTAATCAATTTTTCCGTAAAACCATGTAGCGTAAGCAAATATATGGAGTGCCAGTAAAACAAGACAAATTTTGAGTGTTTTTTGATGAATTTAGGATTTGTTTTGACAGCGAAGCTTGCACGCGTCAGCGGTAAATATATCGCCGGCTATCTCGCAAACGCTATCCTCGATTACATAAATTCGCAGTGCATATTTATACGGCTGAATATTTTTAGTTCTCTAGACAATATGAGATAAGCGATTACTTATCGAGCGATTACTATTACTGACGAAATCATTATTATTATATGTTATCTCTGTGATAATAGATTACTCACTACTATTAAACGCGTCGTCCGAGGCTGATTTTTAGACCTCGTTTTGAAATCTCGATTGGTTCCTCAGTTTGGCTCGTTAGACTTATCGCCTAATGTTATCGTTGATTCGTGACTGGCAATAATTCATCATTTGAGATGCTTGCCGAAGAGATTAAATAAGCTAAGTAAATCGCACGATGATCGTCAGGAATTATTTCATTAGATGCTTCGCACACTTTAACACGCACATGCGTATATAACAGAGACATACGAATATTTGGGGCTAATATTGCCACTCATTAATCATTCCGATATCATATCAAAGAAGTGATCAAGAAAAGATCGAAAATATAGATTTCCGACGATTCGACAGATATAACTTTAGTTTCCATTTCGCAGAAGGTTGCGAATATGATGGAAGACTTTTGTGCGATATATTAATTAACGAAGACGATTGCCGTTCAGTGATAACAGCAAGAAAGTAATCCGACAGATGGCTGAGAATTTTACTTTCATCGAAAGATCACTGAATTTTTACGATCAAGAAGAAGAAAATAGGAAAATGTAAAGCTACTCATAATCAAAAATTTAAAAAAATTAATAATTATTATTTAAGACACTTTTTTATATGGCACGATGACATCAGCGCGTTTTATATTCTTTTATTTTGTAAGAGAATCGTAATTTAAAACGCTGACCGTGCTCCACTTAATTTCACTTGTATTAGAAATGATTGTAGCTATGATTAAAGTCTATTTAGGTCTATTAAAACCGATTTAAGTTCACAATAACTGCAACATACATTTGTAAATATTTTACAAAAAGAAGCTTCTCTCTTTGAAATAGAGAATCGTCAATTGATTAAAACATGTTTCTATCGTAACCAGAAAAAGGCACTTATCACTGGAAGAGAAACGAACAACCATCAGCACGCACTAGTCGACACTGCGAGTAAAACTGCACTCGCGCGCGCAAACCGAATCGATTCGATTCTTTCCGTGAATTTCTGCCAATCCTGAGCGTCGTAAAGGAGTCGCCGTTATTTATTTTAACAACAAATGTTGCAAATGTTTGAATTTTCTAATCATCGTGTAGAGGATACCGAGACGATGGCAGGGCGGCATCGGATGAGCGGGAGCGGCTTTTTCACGGGAGGAACGTCCAGAAGTCACTGTTAGAAATCCAACGTGATAGTAACAAGGTACGGCCAATAGGAGCGAGCGAACCGATCGATAGCACAAGACACGAAGTTTCGACCTGATAAGATCAAGATTTCTATGGCGCGACCTGGCTGTCTGTTCGTGTATATCGTTGTATCGAGACTGTAGCAAATTCCCGCGGCTGTCTTCGATAGATAGATCTTTGATTGGAGGGCTATCATCCTCAGCGTTTTTATCTCTTTGCAACCAATATAAGGAAAGAAAGAAGTTGTTTTACAATTTGCAATTTTATATTTAAAACTCATTTCTCCTATATATACATAAAACCATTAGACATTTTATACAAGACGAAAAAGTTTTCGAAAAAGTTATTCGTCTGGGCATTTTGAAAAACTGTTATCGATCCTTTATTTGAAAGAAAGTATGAGAACAAAACAAACTTGTACAAAAAATAATAAAAAATTTGTTGGAGAAGATTAATTTCCAAACTTGAGTCACAGGCTTATAAGTTATTAATTATTTCTATCCCCGTGATTGAATACGACTCCACGTGCGACGCCTCTCTGATAGAAGTATTGATGACGTAAGCTCGCAATCAGATAACATTTCATTGATTGTTGAGTTGTATAATTCTATTAACCTTTGTATGCGCGAGTAATAATTCTGTGTCTTTAATAAATAAAGAGCATGAGTGATTATCTTATAAATAATTTCTAAGTTTAAACTTAGATCGAACTTAGATCCAAGCTTACTATCCCATTAAACTATAATTTCCAGTGATTATTCTCATTCACAAATGCACAGATCTGAAATAGAAGCTATTGCCTATAACTACAATTTATTCTCGTCGCATATTAATATAGCACTATTAGTTCAATACGAGGAAAATTACACATGCTACATCATAAAACCTGCGACAATTCCTACAGTAAGCGGGAAAGGCATATATCTGCAGCGCGAAACATCAATAACGCAAATACGATACCAAGTAGATGAGCAACATTACAATGAACAGAAGCGCGATGATAGAGTGCAAAATGGTCGATATTATCGACGATGCTCCTTTCGCGACAAGGCCATCATAGATCGGTCAGGATCGTTGGCGGTAAAGAAACGTTGAATAATTGAATTCTATCGAGTTGATAATGAGACCCCGAAGCGCTTATGCGTCATTTCTCTCCTCGGATGTATTATGAAAGGACGCCCTTTTACAGGAGCGAGTGGATGTCATTAAAATACGTATGTCCCCTTTTAAAAGAGCATTCATACTCGGCAGTGTCGGAAATGTCGTTTCCCCAGAGTGGTGCTCCTTTTTCGCGTGCAAAATATCAAAGTAACTTGCCTCTATACTTGCCCGACTTATCGAGTTGACCGATCGCAAATTAACACTTCCGTTATGCCGCGACGCTAATAAGCCGACATAAGTAACGTGACATGGAAAACGCGATGCAAAAGATGATCTCCAGGATCGTGCATAATTTTTGTTTCTTTCAGCGTAACACAAGAAATTAATGACTTGCGCTCTATTAATTCACGTATTAAGCGTGAAATTGTTTAATTTTTTTAAACGTGCTGTACATTTTCTTTAGTTTCAGTTATAATAAAATATTTCATATATGTATCTTCGTACCGATATTTGGCATTTCGGACCTAACGAATATTAAACAAGCATCAGTTAGAATCAAACAAAATCTTTTAA